ATATAAAAAAAATATATACATATTATTCAAGAAAGAATTTTTAATGAAATATTATCCGTAAATATTAGCGTATTTTGAATGCGGCTTTTTCTTTAAAGCAATAACGAAGTTCTTTTTGTTTTCAAATTGCCTGCATCGTTAGCGGGGTAAAAGTTTCGTTTTTCATTTGAAATTTGATTATTTGGTTTGGTTGCTCAAATGAAATCGTGGCGCCCGACTGTAGTTTTCCCAATTTCGTATATTTTTTATGCTGTTTTAGCGTGGCGCGACTTTGCTGTTCATTTCAACAAAATTACACATTTTTTCGTGGCTATTACGTTTAATGACCGCACAAAATGTGTGGCTAATAAGCAATGCGATGGCTCTATGCTCGCATTAAAGCCGAACTCCGAAACGGCTGCCGGTGACCTGTGACCTGAGTGAAATCAATAAATGAAATATCAGCTTATTAGCCGTAGGAGTATTTCCCGCTATCCGCTACCCACCTCATGCATAACTATATCAAGCGCAAACTAGCCAGCACTTCCGCTTCCGTTGCACCCAAACACACACACACACACACACACACACACAGACACAAAGATAGAGGACATAACCATATCATGATCATGATGCACTTGCAGTCTGGGCTGCTACCGGCTTAGCCAACCAACTACTATGCAATTTATATAATAAAAACCGAGTTCGACTCTCAAAACAGGATATTTGCGTAAAGCTCACAGCCAGCCCATCCGATTCCCTCATGTCCGGCGTCGTCGTCCTTTGTGTAGGCCACTTCGCAATCGGGGTGCCCAGCATCATAAAAGTCGCTAAAAGTTTGCGCTTTTGTATGCAACTTTTGTTGTGCAAAATAAACTGAATGGCCAACTACTAGTTGGGCGTACCCCAAATGCATAAAAGAGCTTAGCAAAATGTAATAACTATCATTACATGGCTAAACAGTTTGTGTAGCTACATTCACTAGACACATTTCCCGTTACAGCTGCTGTAATTGCATGGAAAGGATTATTTGCGACAAGACAAGTCTGACAGATAACTGTTGTTCAGCGTACTAAATGGAATCACTTTGGAATAGTATTTCGATTAATTAAAGTGTTTTAGAGAGCATATTATCATAAATCATAATGGCTCTAGTATATAATAATAATTGTACAAAAATTATACTTATTTCATATGTTATTATTATTTTATATTATTTGAAAATATACATTTAAAAAGAAAAGCAACAAAAATAGTTTTAAATAGTTAAAAAACAAAATTAATATTAAAAAAAAAAATATGTGTCGTATAATATGTATATACTGAGCAACAATTTATTCATTTAAGAGTCAAAAGTAAATTTAAAATAAATAGTAAGAAAATTATGAGTATTATTAGTATATAA